TATTGGCCAAGTATGATTGGACACACAAGGAATTTGTCTTTGGTGCAAATGCTCTCAGTGCACATAAAAGAAAAGACACATTGCGGGCTGGACTAGAAGACCTCCAAGGTTAGGTTTCTGATGAATCATCTGGGTTTGTCTCTGCCCTAGAGAGAACATCAAGGACAACAGCGATGGCTACCTGAGGAACTGCACTTTCAACGCAACCACAGATCTTTACTGTCCCATCTTCAAGCTGGGCTTTATTGTGGAGCAGGCAGGCGAGGATTTCTCCAAACTGGCTCAAAAGGTAACCATCTTATTTTTGGCCATGGCAGTTTGTCTCGTTGTTGTGATAGGTAGGGAGGCCCCTCTGTTTGGGGCGTTGCGGGGCAGGGAGAGGAAGAAGCAGTGGCCTAGGTGCTAGTCTAGATGTGGGAAAACCCAGGAGCTAGTTCTCAGTCCCAGGAGCCAGCTGGATGACCTTGGGTTGGGCCACCCCCTCTCAGCCAAGTCTGGTGTGGTGGTGAAGGTGTTGGGAGTGTTAGGGCGATAAATAAAGGAAAGAAATCAAACATATGATAGCATTAAGTAGAGAGTTACTCTATAGGCATATTTTATCTAGATGTTAGGCAATTGTTTTCCTATGTATTGTTGGAAGTTACGATTCCCCCCCTCTTCTAGGAAAACAGCCCCCACCCTGTGTCAAGGAGGGCTATTAAAATAGCTGGAGCCAGCTTACTTTTCACAACAAAGGAAGGAGAAAATTACAGGCGTGAGATACAGAGGAAAAAACCCTACAAACTAGCTAAGATCCTTTTCCATAGAAATCAAATAGATGGCAAGCTATAAAAACTTATGAAAAGCAAACCAAAAGGCATGGCAAGAAGGAAACACGATAGCAAACAAGCAACTACAAAGGATCAGGACCATACAACCAAGATCCCAGGAAAAGAATTCAACACACACACACACACACACAAAATCAAAGTCTTTCAAGATTCACACCTACAAATCAAAGAACCTGAAGTGTATAAAAGAGAGGTTTTCCTACTCACTTATTAGATTAATCCTAGGAACGCTGTGAGATTTCTTATCTGCCTTCCTATTAATAAACTGATTCCGACTTTCAACGCAGCTGACCAAACCATTTTGCATTTCTTCCAGCCTGGAAATTTGAATCCACAAAAGGAAAAGAACTTATTATTATTCCTTGAAGGGCAAGGTTTTCTTTTTTCCCTTTCCTCAGTATGTAGAAGTTATTTATTACTCTATAGGCATTTCTTATCTTGCTGTTGTGGAAAATATTTCTCTAACCTTTCACGTGTTGTAAAACTAGCCTGCAATTAGTTACCTCTCTCTCATGTGACGACACATGATTATCCCATCTAAATCAATCTGAATCCATCTGGTTTATGTTCCACTCCCTTAAGAGGGAAACATACTTCCCTGAGAAGTAATTCCCTACATCTGAAGGAATAAACACTTTTGAAGTATGTTGTTAAAAGCACTGTTAAGACAATAGGAGAAGGGATAATGAAAGATAAACAAGTGCCAGAAGGACATTTGTCTTTTTGCAGGAAGGATGTAAATCTAAATTAGAGTGTTTTACAATGCAGTTAACTCTACTTCTAAAAGAATCTTAAGGTATAAGAAGAGTTACTTTCGTCAACGTGCTTTGTAACTTTCCTCATATCTGTGTGAATGCAAGGAGGGGTCTCACCCTTTTATTGATCATTTAAAAGTTAAATGTTGTTCTTCAAAGCCTCTGCTTAAGTTCATTTTTGGCACATCGTGGTCTTAAGTTATAGCTGAACTTTACATTAGGATCCTTGGATTCAAGTCTTCCTAACAATGAGGACAATTAAACCAGTGGAACGGCTTGCCACCAGAGATTATGGATGCTCCATCCCTGGAGGTTTTTAAGACAATATTGTCTGAAATGGTCTAGGGTCTCCTGCTTGAGCATGGGTTGGACTAGAAGACCTCGAAGGTCCCTTTTAGTTCCATTCTGATTTTTTCCTTTCTGGCTCTGCCTTTGCCCTTGCAGGGCGGTGTGATCGGTGTGATCATTAACTGGAATTGCAACCTTGACCTGCCGGACTCCGAGTGCAACCCCAGATATTCCTTCCGCAGGCTGGACCCCAAATGGACTCAGGCTTCCTCCGGCTACAATTACCGGTAAAAAAAAAAAAAATAATTGGCTGCTTTTTTTTCTGGAAAACAAAAGAAAAAGGCCTTTTAGGGGTTTCATCTTTGGTTTGTCAGGGTGTGTTTAAAGAGTGCCAAGGCTGGCCTCCAGCTTGCTTCCCCCTTTGCAACCGGTCAGCCTAAAATATTTGCAGTGGGGGAGAGAGGACAAATTGGAGTGTGTGTGTGTGTGTGTGTGTGTGTGTGTGTGTGTGTGTCGGGATCCATGCTGTGCCGGGCAAGGAGGAGGCATCGCTCCAGCTCAAGGCCAACTGAAAGTATGCAGAGATGGAGAAGCTACAAGGAAACTCGTGTTCCCAAAACAAGATAAGTATTGCTTAATTGGACACTGTTTGATTGCAGGTGCGGGGAAAGCGGCCAGGGAAAAGATAACCACGGCGAAGTTCATGCCCCGCTTGCCAGATTCTGCTTCTCTTTGTAACCATTTATTGCTCTGGTAAAACCAGCCTCTTGGGTGAAAAATCTCAGGCCAGGAGACTCCTTTGGCTAGCTGACCAAGCGGGAGAATAAAATCAAAATGGTGCAGATGTGACAGTCGCCCTTAAAATCCCGATTCCCTAAGTTTCCTGCTTGTTTTCCACACTCCCCAAGAGAGGAAAAGTAAATCTGGCCGGATTGGAATGACTGAGAAGAAGAGTTTCATAGAATACCCAGCCAGATAACAGATAATCAGAGTTGGAAGGGACCTTGGAGGTCATCTAGTCCAACCCGCTGCCCAAGCAGAAGACCGTATCCGAAAGGTGTGTTTTTTTAATCTTTGGATTAAAAAACAACAACACCCCAACTGCCAGATCACCTTTTTAATCATCTTCTCAGGCCAACCCCCAAAAGAAGCTGTTCTCTTTCTGGTGCCACCCATAAGAGTTAAACCACCAGATCTGGAGAAAAAAAAAAACAACAAACACCACGCTCTGCTTTAATTCTCCAGATTTGCAAAGTATTATCAGCATGGTGGACGAAGCACACGCACCTTATTCAAAGCCTATGGAATCCGCATTGATGTCTTGGTGCACGGGCAGGTAAGGGCCATGCCAAGTTTATAGCGACGGAGTTAAGCAGGGACAGTTGGCCTTAGGGGAACAAGGTCCAGGTTGCAGAGATCGTGGCTGAATTGCTGACTTAAAAAGATTTTGTTGGCTCTCCCTTCTTTTTAGGCTGGGAAGTTCAGCCTTATCCCAACCATCATTAACCTGGCCACAGCCCTCACATCCATTGGAGTGGTGAGTACTGTGAGGGGAAAATAACGGGGACCCACAATAGTTGCTGTTGTTGTAACCTTCGTGTGTAATTTGGGGTTGGTGGGGAGGGAAGGAGGGTTGAGATGGGTTCAATATTGACATTAGTCGCCTGATGCAAGTATAAAGGAAAAATTGCAATCAGCCTGTGCAATCTGACTAATGGTAGCTGACACCGGCATCGTAGTTCCCTATAGGCCGAAATTCAGGGGGGGCTGAAGCTATGGGAAAAGAGGAAACATACGCCTAAAGTACATGTAAAAACAGCCATGTTGTAACACTGAGGTTAAAGGAATGGAAAAACTGCCGCTGTTGCTAGGACAGTATGGACAGATTCCGAAAATCGTGTGAGTTGTGGTTTTCAGGTACCGACGTTGAATAATGGGAGTGTCGGAACATTCATGAAGTGACAGGGACATGGGTAACAAGGTCAGCCAATGGGAGCTGAATTGGGGGCTGAGACTGGAAGGAATCTGGGCGTGGCTTAGCTCTGAAACTGAGACTAATCTGCTCTGAAGCTGCTGTTTGTGTAACAATAGAAGAATCTACTATTGGTATTGTACATTTTGCTCATCTCATTATGTACATAAAGAAGTTAATGAATCCTGCTGAATCGGGTCATCGGTGTGTGCTTTCTGGAAATGACTTCTGCAATAAATTCTAACGGGAGGGCTGTCGATCGGCCAGGAGCCGTCCCTTTCGACTGCTTGTCCGATCGACCCTCATTGCAACGTGGTGTAAACTCCTACAGCAAAGGCCTGGTGTTTGCTGTGCTTTAGTTTCTTAATAAACCTCTGAACCCTAAAGTCAGGCTTTTGTGGTGTGCTGTCTGTTCAATTTTTATTAAATGCAGCTATGCTCATAGTCAGGTTTTTCCCTGGACAGTAGCAAGCCTTGGGGTGTCCCTCTTCATGTACTGATAATCTCTGCCTCCCTCCACTTTTCTTTGGCAGGTATCCTTCCTCTGTGACTGGATATTGCTGACATTCATGAATAAGAACAAGGTGTACAGCACCCGAAAGTTTGACCAGGTATGGTAGCAGAAGCAGATCAGAGTCTTCATATTTTGGTCTTCAAGATAGACTCCCATGTACTAGACTGGTTCATGGACTTAGACCAGTAAGAAGGACAGACAATCATGATTGTCCAAGAACACAACCATCACAGGGGATGTCAAACTGGGAAGGAACTTTTTTCCCCCCATAATAGCTGGCCAGCCAAGGTGTGTCTTGTGTTGCCACCAAGTTCACAACATGAAAAGGAGCAGGGAGTGGTGGTGAAGGGATTTCCTCCTCTCACAAAGCTGCTCCATCATCAGGGGGAAACAAATCATGTTTGAAAGGAAAAGCAGAACGATAACAGAATAAGAGAGTTGGGAGGGACCTTGGAGGTCTTCTAGTCCAACCCTCTGCCCAGGCAGGAAACCCTACACCACTTCAGACAAATGGATGTCCAACATCTTTTTAAAAACTTCCAGTGTTGGAGCATTCACAGCTTCTGGAGGGAAGTTGTTCCACCAATTAATTGTCAGGAAATTTCTCCTTAGTTCTAAGTTGCTTCTCTCCTTGATTAAGTTTCTCTGCCCACAAATGCAGGGGATTGTTTTAAAAAGCCATCAGTGCACAGCGGATACTCACTGGGTTTTCCTTTCTCTCTCTGGCCAGGTATCCAAGAGTCCCGAGGCTTCTGTGAAAACTGAAGTCAGGGCCACCAATTTCGCCCCCCAAACTTTCTCTTTGGAAGACTCCACCAGACCCCAGCAACCTCTCGGGCCCTAGACTTCTATCTTCCATCCAATCTGCCTGGGTTATATTTGCATCGGATGAATCACAGAATTGGAAGGGACCTTGTAGGTCATCTAGTCCAACCCCCCCCTCTTCCCAGGAAAAGCTCCCTCCACCAAGCAGGCTGTCAGAGCTGCGAGGGGGGGGCTCCTATCCTCACCAAATCCATTTCTGGAATCCATTTGCTCTCCAATCCCCCCCCCCCGCGAGTTACACGAGAGAAGAGAGAATTAACTAACCCAGGTTAACTAACTTTATTATTAAGCAAGCTTTTGTGAGAGGCACAATAATGCCAGGCTGCCGAGCGGCTACCAGATCCCTTCTGATTTTGGCCCTATGCTGGCTAGCATGCAAAAGAGATTATTTTTCACCCTGGACTCTTGTTTACCCTCTATTGAAAGTGTGGGAAGGACGCAGGGGATGCCAAGAGAACCCCCAAAGGACTGAAAACAGCAGATTTTTCACGAGGAAAGAAAAAAGACCTGGGAGTTTCGTCTTCAAGACAGGCTTCCCTGAACCCCACCATAGCATCTCCAGTGAAACGCTCCAAGAATATTCGGCCTGGGGTCCCCTCAAGCCTTTCTCTGCCTTCACACGTGACATCTTAAAGAGGAAAGCAGAAAAGCGTCACCACCTGAGACTTCAGGGCACAAGACCTCGCGGAAGCCTCCCAGGCCTGCAGCTTCAAGGGCAGAGAAAATGGAAAATTATTCTATATACGAGTTGTAACTGTATCTGGCGTCAGTTATATTTAAATAGATATGTGAAATCCCATCCAGTGCAGCTTCACCAGAGTCTGGAGGGGGGGCAGGGTCCTCCTCCTGGAAACCAGCTTCTACCTGCTGGATGCCAGGAGTCAGAGCATTGGAAGGGATCTAAGAGGTCTTCTAGCCCAACCCGCTGAGCATCCCGCCTCAGTCCTCCTGCTCAGGCGGGACGTTCTATACCATTCCAGACAAATCTCCTGTTAAAAATCTGCACTGATGGAGATTTTTAACTTCTAAAGGCAAGCCGTTCCACTGATTAAATGTTCTCCTTGTCAGAAAATTTCTCCTCTGCTCTAGGTTGCTTCTCTCCTTGATCAGTTTCCATCCGTTGGTTCTTGTCCTGCCTTCGGGGGGGCTTTGGAATTGAACATCAAGGCCCCCCCCTCCATCTCTTTGACAGCCCCTCAAAGTATTGGACATATCGTATCCCCCCTGGTCTTTCTCTTCATTGCACTAGACATGCCCTTCAAAGCTTCAACGAGCTGAAAACAGGGATGACAAGGCTCCGACACCCACCCCCCCAATTCAAAGCGTAAGTCTCTAGCCGCATCGCTGAGTAAAAAGAATTGATTTATTAGGAGTGACCATGTCGGCGTTACCTGGGTGCAGCCGACACTAAGATACATCATTCATTTCACTCTTAACCCTGGTCTTTCCCCCACCCCCTGGATGTATATTCGCCAGTGGGACACCTCCATAGCCAAGAGTCATCAATCGTGCTTTCAAGTAATAATCTTGCCCGCCAACAGCTTCACAATTATCTGAAGCATTTAAGGAATGCACTGTTTCCCCCCCACTCCCTTTCTGATGGCAACTAAAAAGACCAAAGGAGTACTTTTTTTAGTTGACAAGGGACTTACGGCCGCTTTTCACACTTATGACCGTTGCAGCATCCCCACGGCCATGATTTACATCCGGATACTTGACTCACGCTTATGACGGCCCCACAGTGTTCCTGGGGTCATGTGATCCATTTCTGCGACCGTCCGACAAGGTGATGGGGGAAGCCGGATTCGCTTAAGAACTGTGTTACCAATGTAACGGCGGCGACGACTCACTCAACAGACGTGGCAAGGGGAGTCGTAAAAAGGGGCAAACCCACAAACGTCTCGCTTAGCAACAGAAACCCTGGGGCTCAGTGGTGGCCGTAAGTGGAGGAATACCTGAGTTGGAACTAGTTGAAACCTCAAGGATTCCATCTCCGCATTCCAAGAATCCAGAAACACTGGAAATAAATAGCAATCGTTTCGTTCTCCTTCCGCATCAAAGCTCTCTCTCCTTTTGATCCCTTTCCGGAGTGAAGAAGCACAGAGGGCCAAGCGAGCAAAAGCTAATTGAATCAGGCAATTTACACAATCAAATTAGCTGCAGGGGGAACAGCCAGCTTCGGGGAAGCTCAGACACTTGAGAGTGGCGGGGAGGGAGGCGCTGTGCAGCCAGGCTAATTGGGGTTGGCCGAGTCCCAATGGCGAAGCGCCAGCTGACATCAGTGGGTGGCACTTTGCAGGAAACGGATACCGCAACCCCCCCAAAAAAAAGAAAAAAAAAGATTTGTGCTGTTTTGCAGGCCAAGGTCTTCGCGCTGTTTCGAAGCGACACGCAGGAGATAGATGTGGGGTTGAGCCCTCAGGCCGTTTGTTTCTTTATTGCGGATTATCTGCTTCATTCATTTGGAGTTAGGCGGTGTCAAATTTATTTATTAAATATATTGGCCAAAGCTGGCTTGAAAGGAAAAAAAAGGATTATTTACAGCGCAAACTTTTAAAAACGAAAAGCCAAGAACAAAAACGGCGTTAAAATCCGGGCAAGAAAAATGCCCCCGTCACCCAAAGTTTGCTCCGGGTTTGCAAGAAGGGGAGAAGGGGCACCCCCAAAGTTCCTTGCATTCCCGGGCTGAGTTTCAGAGAAACCATGATCTCTTCTCCACAAGGCCTTTATTCTCCTCTTGATGTTTCCACCCAAGTCAGGACAACCTCAAGGCTCCCAGCTTTGGCTCCCCGGGGCGAAGCCTTCCTCGCCGGCTGCCTACGCAAGCGCTTCTCTCCTCGAGAACTTCCCAGCCAGGCCAAGGAGGAGAACTGGGCACCTTGGGTGTTGCTTCTGCCCGAAAGCAGGACGGGCTTCCTTTCTCAGGAGAGAAGCTGGGGATTCATTTGAAGCAGCCACTGGACGTTCTCCAGCAAGTGGGTCATCCCGTAATGCCGAGCGATGCCCTGGAAAACCTTCAAATGATCCAGGAAGCTCTGGGTATGGGAGGAAAGAGAGAGAGAGAGAATGAAGGGAAGGTGGGAAACCCTCCAGCAAGAGACTGAGATGGAAGGGGGGAAACGGCTTCACCCATTGGGGAGAACCGTAGTCAAGGACCTGAGGGAGGGAAAAGCTAGGAAGTGGCCTTGACTCTACCTTGGTGGGTAGTAGGAGGTCAAAGTCCCCGGCACAACTGCAGTATACGGGCATGTGAGTATCCTTAACGCCTTTGCATTTCAAGCACACCTGAAACACTCAAGACACAAATGAATTAGGCTCTGCTTCGGATCTCTCAAGAGAATAGGATGGCTTTGCAAAGTCTGCAGCCAGTTCAACACCCTCAAATCCTCAGCGCGGACCAAGAGGGCTACGGTCCATACACCCTGTACTCCAGGGCATAAAATGTCTAACCACTGAATCCCAGTCTCTGGGCTCAAGCAGCCCCAAACACGGTGATTTGTAGATTGTTATGGCCTGGCACCTCCTCCCTCATTGCCTAGGGAGATTCTCCGTCATCCAGGTCATTTTCAGTTTCATTCTAGACATGTTGTGCATGGACAATAAACCTTTGATTGATGGCTGTCCCAAAGGTGTTTTTTTTTCTTCCAAGAGGCAATTGGGCTTTCTGGTTTTTATTTGAAGAGGTTTTGCTTCCCATCCAAGGAGCTTCTTCAGCTCCGACTGGATGGTGGGGAATGGAAGGATTTATACTCCTTTCAGATAGCTGGTCATTTGCATCCTTTGAGAGGGCCGTTGAGGCCACTTGGAGGTTTGTCTGTGTCTTCAGGGTCAAAGAAGCCATCTATGTCCAAATTGAACAGCCCTCCCTCAATGGGAGGGGGGATATGATGTCATCTATCTCCAGTCTACAACACGGGTCCTTTCACCAGTTCCATTGGCAATACTCAGGTGACTCTGAGGACACAGAGAAACCTCCAAGTGGCCTCAACGCCTCTCTAAAAGGATGCAAATGACCAGCTGTCTGCAAGGAGCATAAACGCCTATGGAGATTCTCAATCATCCCGAGTCATGGTTGTCCCAAAGGTTCTTTTTCAAGAGGCAAGTCTTTGTTTTCTTAGAAGCTTCTCCATCTTTTGCACCTCCAAATTCTCCCCCTCCCCCCACCCTAAAACAGGGGGATAGTGATGGAGTTTAAGGATGGGAAGAAACGTGGTTTGCCTATTACAGAATATCGGCTATTCCACCTCGCAGGACTCCTTGCTAAGCGTGGATTTTGTTAAGGGGCGAGTCGTATTTCACAGAAGCCCACCCAGGGGGGAGCCATGACCCCCACCCCTTCCTCACCAGATCTTGCAGGGTGAAGGCCATCAGCTTCTTCTGCAGGGCTTCCACCAGAGCCATCTCGATGGCGTCGGAATCGTACTGAGATTGGCAGTTGGAGCACAGCCAGCTGGGCAGCGGAGAGTCGTCCTGCAAGAGGGGAAGGAGGACAGTGGGTGGGCTTGGAAGGAGAAAGAGGGGGAGGGGGTTTCCAGGGGAATGGCTCACCGCGATGGACGAAGAGCCAGGGAACGAGAGGGCAACAAGGCAGCGGTGTCCCAATCTTTGTGGCTCGGGTGACCTGGCGTTGGGGAAACCGGGCTGCACGAGTGGCAGGCCGGGGCACATGCGTATGAACATGCAGCTCGGCTTGCAAAGTGGAGTTATGGACACATTTGCATATGTGCCAGCCTGCCACTCGCAGAAGTTGCATGCACGCACGCCGTTCTGCTGCTCGTGCAGCCCGGTTGCAAACAGGCCATAGCCCAGCAGTGGATTGTAGAGCCCTGCAATAAGGGATGGATGAGTCTTAGTGGACAACCAGCTAAATAGGAGCCAACCGTGTGCGGCGGCAGCCAAAAAAGCCAATGCAATCCTAAGTTGCATTAACAGAGAAATACAATCAAGATCAAGGGAGGTACTTATACCACTCTGTAAAGCTTAGTAAGGCTTAGTAAGACCACACCTGGAATTCTGCATCCAGTTTTGGTCACCACACTATAAAAAGGATGTTGAGACTCTAGAAAAAGTGCAGAGAAGAGCAACCAGGGGGATGAGGGGACTGAAGGCTAAAACATATGAAGAACTGGTTGCTGGAATTGGGTGTGTCTGGTTTCATGAAAAGAAGGACCAGGGGAGACATGATAGCAGTCTTCCAATATTTGAGGGGCTGCCCCATCGATTTCAGGTACTGGAATCTGTTTACCATGGATCTTGAGGCATGAAATACCCAGGAGAAAAAGAGAGATTAATTCGAAAACCCTGGAGGAGGAGGAGGAGGCCTGGTCTAGGATTCCCGCTCCTCTCCTGCACTCAAACAGCAACTCCCAGAAGGAGGGAAGAGAGACAAGCAGTGGCAGCAGGTGGCAAGTGGGGTGTGTGTGTTTGTGGATCTGTGGGGCACCTGAAAGAGAGCCGGATCCTTGCAGAGATCCAGGTCCCTGCAAAAGTTGCAGTTTCTGCAGATCACTTCCGGGAGGACGTAGGAGCGGCAGGGGTCGAGGAAGTTGGCCTCCTTGGAGAATTCCCCCACATCGATGAGACGCAGGAGGTCGCGCTTCAGTTTCTGCACTTGGTTGGTGATGTTGGCATCCAGAGACAGCACCTGGGGAAGAGAGGGGGGCCATTTTTATCTTGCGCTCAGGATATAGAGCAATAGCCCTGAGACTTATACACCGCTTCACTCTGCTTTCCAGCCCTCTCTAAGAGGGTTAACAGAGCCTCTTGCCCCCCCAACAATCTCAGAAGGAAAGAAGGAAGGAAGGAAGGAAGGAAGAAAAGAAGAAAGGAAGGAAAGAAGGAAGGAAGGAAGGAAGGAAGGAAGGAAGGAAGGAAGGATGGAAGGAAGGAACGAAGGAAGAAAAGAAGGAAGGAAGGAAGAAAAGAAGGAAGGAAAGAAGGAAAGAAGGAAGAAAAGAAGGAAGGAAGGAAAGGAAGGAAAGAAGGAAGGAAGGAAAGGAAGGAAAGAAGGAAGAAAAGAAGGAAGAAAAGAAGGAAGGAACGAAGGAACGAAGGAAGGAAGAAAAGAAGGAAGCAACGAAGGAAGGAAGAAAAGGAAGGAACGAAGGAACGAAGAAAAGAAGGAAGGAAGAAAAGAAGCAACGAAGGAAGCAACAAAGGAAGAAAAGAAGGAAACAACGAAGGAAGGAAGCAACGAAGGAAGAAAAGAAGGAAGGAAGGAAGGAAGGAAGGAAGGAAGGAAGGAAGGAAGGAAGGAAGGAAGGAAGGAAGGAAGGAAGGAAGGAAGGAAGGAAGGAAGGAAGGAATTCAGCCCTCTCTGCAAACTCCAACTCAGGGTGTCCTCACGGTGAGGATTGAAGCGCCCTTCCATTTTTCTGCCATAAGTGATTTTGCTCCCGTCAACACATCAAAGTTCCAATTTCTTTTTCCGTCTTTTCCCACGAAACCACCCCCAAGGAAAACTTTCTGGCTTTATCTTTATATCCACTTTCTTTTTCTGCTCGCTCCACCCCAGCCGCTCCTCCTCCTCTCCCTCCAAGGCCATTTGCTCCCAGGGGAAGCCCTCACCTGACAGACGTGCTTGATGAACTCCAGCGCAGGATTGTTGAGCGCCAGGTGCGAGCCAGGCAGGGATGGAAACATTTCGGAGAGCTCTGCGGTGTGGCGAGACCCGGTGACTTTCTTTTGGATCTTCTGCGTGATGGTGAAAAAGCTCTGGGTCAGCTCGTTGGAGACGTACTCCTGCGAGAAGGCGATGGCCCCTAGGAGGGAGGAGGAGGCAAGCAGACACAGCCCTCAATGATGGGGAGGTAAACATCTGGCATTGAAAAGGACACCCCCCCCCCCCCTCCACCCCAAAAGCCCCCCACTTTTTTTTTTGTAAAAAAAATTATTTGGGTTTTCACAAAACATAATACAAATAAAATATCTTTTTTTTTTGAGAATAGCGTGGTCCCGGGTTATCCCTTCTCCATACCGGCACAAACTCAATTTCATATTCATCTTTGGGTTCTATTCCATATCTTGTTACTATTTTAACATTTTCTCAATAATTTTTTCCCTTCCCTTAAGTTTTCTCAACCTTGCTTTTAATTATCTCAAAAGCCTCACATTTTTTTGTGCGCTTTCTTCAGGGTACGTTGCTGTCCAGGTGAGGGAGAGTCTAAAGTCCAATCAATTCAGAATAGAGCTGGAAGGGACCTTGGAGGTCTTCTAGTCCAACCCCCCCTGCTCGTGCAGGAAAGCCTATACCATTTCAGACCAATGGCTGTCCAGTCTCTTCATAAAAACCTCCAGGGATAAAGCACCCACAACTTCTGGTGGCAAGCTGTTCCCCTGGTTAATTGTCCTCACTGTGAGGAAGTTTCTCCTTAATTCCAGCTTGCTTCTCTCCTTGTTGAGTTTCCATTTGTTGCTTCTTATTCTGCCTTCTGGTGCTTTGCATAATAGCTTGACTCCCTCCTTCTTTGGGGCAGCCCCTCAAATATTGGAACGCTGCTATCCTGTCATCCCTTAGACCTTCTTTTCATTAAACCAGACATTCCCAATTCCAGCAACCTAGGTTTTTAGCCTCCAGCCCCCTCGTCGCGTTCACTGGCTTCCAACGCTTAGAGGTCCAAGCTCTCTGGCACTTGGCCAGCTGCCCGGCCGCTTGGCCAAACGGACGGGAGCAGGGAGGCTGTGGGCACTCACCTGGCATGGTCCCCGTCTCCCCTACGGCCTCCTGGGAGGCTTGGCTGCCGGCTCGCCTCCTGACCGGGGTGCCTCCGGAGACGTTCCTCTGCATCTCCTCCTTTATGCTGTGGTGAACAGCCACGATGTATGCTGGGAAGAGATAGCCAGAAGGGTGAAACGCCAAGCCATGATTCGACCCCCTTTCTCTGCCTCTCCTGGAAGTTGGAATCAGAGGTGGGATTCAGCCGGTTCGCACCGGTTCTACAGAACCGGTAGCGGAAATTTGGAGTAGTTGGGAGAACCGGCCAATGCCGCCTCTGACTGGCCCCGCCAACCCCATCTCTTCTCTGCCTCCCATCGAGTCCCAGCTGACTGGCTGAGTCTTCTTTGGTTGCCCCGCACAGGAGAGCGGAGCTGGAAAGCAGGTTAGTGGGGTGCGGAGGGAATGGAGATTTTACAGTATATCCTTCCCCTGCTACGCCCACCAAATCCCACACCACGCCCACCAGGCCACACCCACAGAACACCATGCCCATAGCTGATCGGCTGGGCCTCCTTTGGTTGCCCTGCACAGGAGAATGGAGCTGGAAAGCAGGTTAGTGGAGTGGGGAGGGAAGGGGGATTTTGCAATAACCTTCCCCTGCCACGCCCACCAGGCCACATCCACCAAACCACACACACACACACACCGAGACCCCTGCTCTACAGCATTCCTAAGTTGCTCTGTACGGGCCCAGAAACCATTCTAGGAATCATGGAGTAAACGGAGTCCCAAGAACCGTTGGGACCACGCAAGGACTTTGGACTTCTGCTTGGGCCTTTTCCGAAGTGGACTTCTGGCCTGAGCGCAGAGGCTGAAATTCTGAACCACGCACATCCTCAGGAACTTACCGGACACAATCATAAGGAAGTAATTCTGACAGGAAACTGCCTGGGGCAAATACTGCATGATGTTCCAGTTGTTTTCCAGATGGTTCACGATGCCGGTTTCTCCCGAGTCCTCTTCTTGTTCCTCCTCTTCTTGTTCTTCTTCATCGTTGGCTACATCTGCTGCCTGTTTATTCCTCGCCGCCTGTGTTTTTCGTAGAATTTTTATCATAGAATAAGAGAATTGGAAGGGACCTTGGAAGTCATCTAGTCCAGCCCACTGCTCGAGCCGGAGAGTTGATTCCAAACATTAGCCTCTACCAACGAGTGGCAATCAAGATAATCTCCCTGCACAAATGGCTTCTTCCCCATTTCACCCCTCTTGTGTTTTTCCCTTTCTCTTGCCCCAAAGGGGGGCTAGCCGTTTGCTTCCTGACCCTAATCCTGTGTGAAGAGCCAAAGCCTTCATGGGGTCCCTCTCCTTGCTGGCCCTTTTACCTCATTGCCGTGGGTCCCGGACGGCCCTTGGCCCTTGATCCCACCGTAATTGGTTGGGTCCATCCACAGCAAAAACTCCCAGCAGCAAGAAAAGGAAATCGCCAGCGAGTGGAAGAGTTCTTTTGAATGGATGCTGGAAGGGAAAAGACAACAGATTGAGACTCTCTGGGCACTTTTACAGAGTCGGCCTCTTGCTCAGAAATCTTGGAATTCAACCACCCAACTTTGGAGGAGTAAATCCTGCCTCTTCTGCTCTGGGGAGACCCCACAAAACAAGGCAATGCCCCCTTTCAAAGCACAAGGCCATTCTGTTCCAATGGTTCCCCCTGCTCCACTGTGGGCTTATTGCAATAGCGCTTGG